CAGAGTTTTACAAAAGAGCTGAGAAAACAGCAAATGCTTCTTGTTCCTGTTTCTAGGAGACAACTGCAGGAACATAGTGAGGAATCTGTAGAGTCAGCTCAGATGGAATCTCAGCAGACAGCTCGGTAAATTGGGCACAGAACTCTGGGTGTTGCAGACCTTTTGTTATTTCTGCCCAGGAGTCAGTTTAGTTTGATTTTCCTCCATTGAACTGCCAGTAGGGTTTTACTAAAGAAGCCCAGAGACACTTTCCTCAGTCTGAAGTTTACAGTAGCAGGAGGTGATGATATGTTCTAGTGACCATGAAACAATGTCTCCTGATGTTATTATCAATTTTTGGGGCCTTTAAAATATTGACTACATTTGATTGTTGGCATTTTTCACAGTAGAATTTTTAATGTGTGCTTCTTTCATAGCAGTAGTTGTATTTTCTATAATTACCACGGAGTCTGTTACTCTGAAGCATTTTGTTGTTTTCTTTTCTTTAGAATTTTGTTTGTTAATGATTACAAGATTTAGTAGCTTGTGGCAGAGATTTAAATAGAGATAAAAGGCTCAGTCTGTTCAGCAAATGGCTTCTGAAGGCAAAGGGGGTTCAGGAAGTGCTGAGCTTTGGGCATGTACCAGACACAGAACTGCTCTTCCACCAGAGACCATGCTGATACACCAAACTCCTAATGCTTCACAGCACAGAGAGCACTGAGGGAAGGTGTGACAGGAGCCAGTCCTTGCACTGATTTCCTGGGGAATGTCTTTCACATTGCCTCTGTCTCCAGCACTGATCTTGGAGCTTTTCACACTCCATTTAATCATTACACCTTTTTTTGCACATGTTTTTTCTCTGTGGTGGAGCTTTGCTGAGTTCTGGATGAAAAGTTACCACCTCAGATGTGTGATTAGAGCATCACCTTCTGAAAATTAAGATAAAAGCCTGCTGACTTAATAGCAGGAGCATTTGCACAGATAGAATCTTCATAGCTGGGGCTGCTCTGCAGCTGGGGCCTCCTGAAGATCCCAGTAATATTTAACTTCTCTAAATGAAATTCTTCCCCCCCAGTATGAAGTAACCAAGGCTGCATCATTTCCATTTGTGCCCGTGACATATTCAAGCACATTTCTAAGAGCTGTAGTTCAGCTCAAGCTGCAAAGCGGCACAAAAGGGCTTTGGCATGAACTTCTGGAGTCGGATGATCCCTGCACTTGCTGTCCAGGGCAAGATAAGCTGAATCTCAATGGGAACAGCCCCAGCCATGAGCAGTGACTTTGAAAATGTGCCAGGTAAAGCCAAAGAAACCGAAGCCGGTTACTGGGTATGAATTGTTATTCAGCCCTCACAAAAGAGGAGGCTTTGACAACACCCCCGGTAACCTTGGCAAAGGGTTTTGTTAAGCAGGTCTGTGCCTCGCTGGCTTTTCAACCCGCAGGCATTGATTGCTCCCTCCTACATGGGAATTTGTGTTCCGGGAGGGGCCGGGTGGTGGCAGCAGCCGGGGCACCACGCTGCGCCTTTCTCCGCTCCCAACGCCGCCTGCAGCCGCCGCTCTGCTCCCGGGAAAGCGGCTGGCACTGCCCTCGCTCCTTCCTGCAGCCTCAGGGGCCCTCCTGGCTCCTTGAGAGTCACAGAGCTCTGGAGTCACTGAGGCTGGAAAAGACCTTCAAGATCAGCAAGTCCAACTTGGGTTTCTCCCACAGTGGGACACTACTGAGGATGATGAGTTGTCTTCTGGATGAATGGAATATTATTTTGAAGAATGGAGTGTTGTTTTCACAATGTCTCTTGGCTGCACTTGTTTATACAATATTTCCACTTACTTTTTCCTATAGATATTTAGGCACCTGGTAGAATAGAAAACAGTCTTTTATAGACCCTGCTGGCTGTGTTCTATTGCTGCTATACATGAAGTGGGGAAACCTGGTCCAAACAGACCTACAAAGGAAACCCTTTCCCCTGAAATAAATTCAAGACCAGTTATATCACCACATTACACTGCAAACTTAGGCTATTGCTTAATGTGGAAATAAACAATTACTTCATGATAAAGATTCAGTGCTGATCTGTGTGGATGATAAGAGAGAGATGAGGTGATTTGCCTCAAGCTTTACAGCAAACCAGAAGCAAGGGTCATCTTTCTTGTTTACAATTTCATGTTATGGTGTAAAATAAATGCCAATGTGAGTGATGATTCCATCTGTTAGCAAAAGACATAGGAGTTAGGAAGTAGCAGCTCCCAATTCCTCCAGTGTAGTCTGACATATTGAGCACGACTGGAGCCTGGGACATAAAAGATGCTGAAGCAAACATCATGCAGCCATTAGGCAATTAGATAGAAGTTCTTTTTCTGTCTCCAAACCAGCTATTGAGGAGAATGCAGAGATGCTCTGATTAGACAGTAACAGAAGACATTTAATTTCCCTTTCCATCCAACAATTTCTAAATTCCTTCCTTGAAGAGTCAGCTTTCCATAACTCTCCATTTTGTGTTCCACTTAGCCTCGTGGGTATTGCAGAGAACATGCTCACTGGACTTCTCTTTCCACGCTCATTAGTTCAGTGAGCTTGGCTCATTTCCTAGGATTTGGTCTAGCACAGCCTCTGACCATCCAGGCATTTGTCTGAAAATCATTTCCCTCTTCACTTCTGCAGTTTTCCTTTCAGTGCCTGAGCAATTAAAATCCCGAGTGATCAAAGCCCTGGTCTTCCAACTGTCCCTTGTTTTTCAATGTTTTACAATCATGGTATGAGCTCCTTTGCCTCTCTGCATGAGCTGAGCTCAAACAAAGAAGGTATGACAATTGCTCAATTGTTAGGAATTGTGAAGAGTCTTAGCCAAAATATTGACATCATTCTGACTTACACATTAAGAATTAATTTTTACTAGGTCTGTAACTAGAGATTAGCGAATCATTTGGATGTCATTAAAATCAAATTGGTTGTCACAAAAAATCATTGAGGTCTAAACAACCATTGCTTTTCACCTTCCTATCTTGATTTCTTGATCTTAGCTATTCTGTAGTATCCCTGGATTATTTCTGACTCTTCACAAGGAAAGATTTCACAGGTGTTTATTCTTTTCTGGCTCAAAATTATCTCTATTATGTATATGCAGCATCTGTTTCATGGCAGAATACAAATTGTTTCTCTGTATATAATTTGTCTTGACTCAGATGTTCCTTGCAGAACTATGGGTTCCTTTACGTCGACAGTCCTGATTCTCCAGGCATTTTTAGTCCCTTGTGATCGAGGAGTCAGTGAGTCACAGCCTGTTTGTGTATCCCCACATCCTGGGGTACAGAACAGCCACATGATACCTGCTCAGGCCTCCTCACCCCCAAAGGTCTCCAAATCCCTTCCATACCATTTTTGACATCCTGGAGGGATTCATTGTGTCAGTCAGAAGTTCAGACACCTTTTTCCATCAGGCACTGCTCGTGGCCCGTGGACGTGGCCCAGAGCAGGTGGAGCCCTGCTGACAGGCTGTGCCGTGTGCCTGCAGTCCCGAGTAGGTGTTTTTGTGGGGAAGGTGGAAAGAGGGAGGTTTTTTTGTTTTGTCAGCGAGTGGGAGAAGTATTGAAGTTGTAAAGAACATCGGGAGCGTAGGGTGGAGGGGGGAGAATGGAGGGTTTGCAGCACTGTAATTTCCCCCAGGGCAGAGATCTCGGAGCAGTATTTAACAGGCTATAGACTGTGCAATACTTAAAACAAATAGATGGAAATGAGTCTTTCTTCTATTAATATGGCCTAGCCCTCAGGAACAGTGCTAAAATGGGTTTGCAAGGCACAATTACCGCAGAGCCCTGTCAGGCTGCTGTTAATTCCTCCAGGCAGAGCTCGGTGTTTTGCTGCCTTCAGCCAGCCATTCATTTGTCCGCCCACAGCGCGGAGCCCCCGGCGGCAGCGGGAGCGCCAGAGCCGCTTCCCTGGCGCTGGGAAGGGGGAGCTGCTGAGGCAGAGCCTTCCCCAGGGCCCGAAATAGCAGCCCCTGCCTGCTCAGGGCTCTGGCACCAGCCACGGCAACCCCAACGTGCACTCGGGCTGCTCTGGGTGCTTAGGGGGATTCTTGCCTTGGATTCTGTGAAAAACATTCTTTTGAAACAAGGTATGTGTTAATGCCTTCGCTGGAGTGTGGAGGAAAGAGTTTGAATTGTGGGTTCGAGGTAAAGTTGATCCTGAAAGCTAGATTTGAGGAATTATTTCAGGACTGTTGTAACAGCAATATGAATTTACCTTTCGGAGGCACAGCTTGGTTTACAGTTGCACTTTGATATATTTTTCTGTTATTTTGTGGACTTGTCTTCAGAGAAAATGAAATTTTTATTTCTCAGCCAGGTGGTGGAGTCTTCTTCCTCAGCCCTTGTACTGTATCATTTATCCAAGAAGTTCAAAACATGCAAAGCTGCGAGGTTTCAGCTCCTTTCCTGTGAGCTAAGATACATTTCAGTGTCCCTATCACAGACGGTTGAGGCACAGGGAGCAGTTGTGAGTTAGGACAGGTCTGGAGGAGGCAGTGGCAGACCCAAGGAGCAGAGTGAAGGTGACCTGCCTTGCAGTGCTGCGATCTGGCTGTCACCTGATACGGGCTCTGTGGAGAGGCTCTGGTGTCATTTACCGTCCGAGTCCAGCCAAGCTGGGGCTCGTCCTTCAGCTCCTTTGCAGGAGCTTTTCCAACGCCAGCCCAGCAGCAGCCCTGGCTTGGCAGAGCAGGGAAATGCAGGACGAGGTCCCCAGCCAAAGGCTGCTGCTGCAGCAAGTTCCCGGTGCCCGGCACAGAGTCCCGGAGCTGCCGCCCCGTCAGGCGCGGGCTGGGCTATTCATTGTGCAAACAGCCTCCTTCCTCTCCATGCCAGCCCGAGGGACACGGCAATGGCAGAGTTTATTATAAACTGAGTGGAGGAACAGACTATTGCTGGAGGAGATCCAGGGTTATAAAAGATTGGAGCGGGGAGGGGGAGGAGGAGGGAACAGGACATAATTTGTGTTTGTGCGTGAGGGGGTGCACTGTTGGTTTCGGCGAGGCATTCCCCAAACCCTCAGGACCTCTGCCTGGTTTTGGTGGGATTTTGTGCAGTGCATCCCGTGCTGTGTCAAAGCCCACTTACTTTTTATTGTATCAATCATCCTCTTTATGCAGCACCACGACTCGGAGAACGCTTGCAGGTCCTGTTCTGAATGAGCTGCGCTTGCTGCCAGCTCAGCCTAGTTACTGCTGTAACTTAGTCTGGGGGATGGGAGAAAAAGGTTGCTGCTACTTTAAATATAATGCATTAAGAGGATGCTGGAAAAAGGCCTGCATGCTGTAATACCCAGCCATCGAGTTGGAAAAGGAGCCAGATGTAATACAAAAGAAGAAACACAGCCTCTTATGGATGCTGCACTAATTCATAAATCAGGTGAATCAGCTTAGGCAACTGCTGTGTTTTTATGCCTCTGCTGCATGGAGAACTGCATGTTGGATGCTTTTATTTGAAGTAATGGAACCAGATAATCCTTTGGACCAGGACAACTCCAATGGTAAGAAGTAGGAAACATAGAAGAGAGAGGGGAAAAAAAGGATAATGAGAGTGTCTGAGTTCCCCATCCTGCTAAAGGCACAGGGGTAGGCATGTGTTTGTACTGTCTTCTGCATGGATAAGTGGAAATGAATGTGGGAATGTGCTTCACAAGAGCTTAGAAATCCCTCTGTTTACAGGGGCTGGAGACAAACGTGTAGCAGACTGATACATTGAGATATTTATTCTGCTGGAAGGAGCAGGAAGCAGGCAGCATTAAGCTGTCTCCTGAGCAGTCTGTGCAGAGGGAACAGGGACCTGTGCATTCCACCTTATTCAGCTTGGGGGGCTTTTTGCCACTGAGAGAGAATGGAACTTTGTGCCGTATGTGCTGTCAGATGTAGCATTTGGGAACAGATTCTTTATCTGCAGAAAGCTTTCCTACAGGCAGATGCATGAGTAATTTACTTAGGAGGATATATTTAGCCAAGGACCACATAAATTCGCCCTGGAATTAAAGTCCATGGTTAAAAATGCAGCTATTCCGTGGATTTATAGCATTCCACAAGCTGATGTTCTGCTATCCAGTCTATTGGAAAGCACACAAAAAAACATAAATTGAGGGGAAAAGTTGTTTGCAAGTCTCAATTCTCTGTTAGTGAAGAGAATTGGCTGCATTGAGGACAACAAAGTATTCATGTTTATGAAAACAATTTCAGATGGTGATTTTTGGAATAAATTGATTCTCAACTGTTTAATATGCATTCAGTATATTCTGAATACAGCTTGAAATCCACTAAATATTCCACTTCCCACATAAATATTGTTCAGGAAGTAGTTATGGATTTCCCACAGCATGTTCTCTGCTGGTAAACAGAGCTTCAAGTCCGACACAACTGCAGTTTTAATATCACAGAGACCTAAAACTGTGTGGAAAGAATGTGGTTAAGGGAATGAAGTAACATTTAAGCTATGTGAACAGTTGACTGGGCACATAGAAGTAGGCAGCACTGCTTTACTTGGGGCTCTGTGCCCTGCTGAAATAGAACTTAAAATAATCAAGGACAGATTTCAGTGGTGTTTCAAATGATGATATTTGCATGAAAATATTAAGAGGGGAGTCTCACACTTCTTATTTCTCTTTTCTATTCTATTTCATATGTAGTTATATTAATTCCTCTCTGGAAGAACAGCATCTACCTCTCATGTCTCATACCTCCTATTAGACCACTGAGACACAGAATTAAATCTCATTTTCTTTCCAGCAGGAAGTTTTAGGATTTCAGAGAAGTGCATGCAGAGTTGAGCTGATATTAACAAACATGTAAGCAGGTGTTCTTGCCCATCCCAGTGTTAGAATCTGGCATTTAGGAGTCACAGAGAGTGTCTGGGTGCTGAGGGAAATACAAGTTTAACTTTATTTTCTCTAATATGTTAAATTCCTCATTAAATTTAGAATGCATAATTTAAGATACATAGGTTCTCATTCTTTTCTTACAGACATCTGAAGTATATTCTGTCATATTGTGTAGAAACTTCGTTTTCCTACAAAATATTTGAATAAGTCGGCAAACACTGGGAAGGTTCATAGGCTGGGAAATGAGAGATAAGCAAGCACTGCTGGTACCAAGGATCTGGGGAAAAATTTCATTGCTTCTCCTTCCTATGTAAATCCCATCTTCTTTTAGTTGTGTTTAAATTTCTTTGATTTTAACTATCTCATTGTAAACAAATGGGTTGAACCATTTACTGATCACAAGGTCAATTCCTTCCCTGTGCTGCTGCTGGAGCTGCAGGACTGAGGGACTCAGCTGCTGCTCTGAGATCCCAGGCATTGTTTTGCATGAATTCAGTAAACAGAAAGTTTTGAGAAATCAGCCAGCAGAGTGCTGTTCAGGAAGATTTGCCCCTTGAGAACGTTCCCTTGTTCTGGAAGCTGCTCCTCGGTCCCTTGGATATCCAGCAGCTCTGGACATGCTGGGAACTGTTGTGTTTATCCAAGTGGGCTGCTCATGTGACAAGTCTTAATGCCTTGGGGAGTGACCATGACTTAAAACTCCTGTGCTTGCTGGAAAAGTGCCTTTTTACCTTCAAGAATGCCAAATCAAATCCCCTTCTCTGCCAGCCAAATGAAGTCCATTCTTTAATTTTTGCTCTACCTGTGGGTTAACCATCTACCTTAAAATTCAGCCCTGGTTCCTTCTGTGTTGCTTATTCCCAGCACAATCAAGAGATGATTAATGACAGAAAAAGCTGTTCTGAAGAATTTGTGGCAATAATGTATTGAGAGTTGCTTTTTGTGCCTCCTGCAGCCCTTCCATTTGCTTACTGACCTGCATGAATTCAGCTCACAGGACGGTGGTGGAATATTCAAGATTGGGAAGCTCTGTCTCATTTCTTAGCACAGGAGGTTTTTTTCCTAATCAAATTAAGTTGCCAACTTTTCACAGAGATGCCTCATAGATTTATTATTGCTTGTAGCTGAGCAGGGAATCACCACTCATTTATGTGGGGGCCTGACATGAGATTTAAGCTGTGTTGGTTGCGTTGACGTAACAGCCCCTGGAATAAACCCTGTGGGTTTTGCATCACCTGTGGGTGCAGTGCTTACTGGATTTTTCTCTGTGATTCTCCAGGGAGCTGCAGTGCTTGACTGCCTGGAACACAGCCTGACAGGCTGCTCTTCATTTGGAGATTTGTGCAGCGAGTTCTGTAACTTTTCTCCTCCACATGGGATGAAGGCTCACAGAAACTTACAGGTTCTCATATGGATTTTAAAAATCATTAAAGCAACCCCCACATTATTTTCTCCTTCTCCCCCACCCATTATTTTCTTTCCATTCTCTGGAATGCAGGCATGTAGAGAAACATTATTGTCATTTTGTGGTGGCTCACAGCTCTGAGTTTTTGAAGTGTTCTTTTTAATGTAGTGGCATGGATTTACTTCTTTTCACCAAAAAAAAATTCTTGGAAGAAACTTGCTGAAGAATGTGCTGATTCTGAAACCATAACCCTAAATTACCCATTTTGGAGGGATGACATATCAGAGCTATGGATTTCTCTTTTGTACTATAGCCACTTGCTGCTCCACAAATAAAAGACAGCTCAGCAGCTTTCTGCAAGCTGCTCAAGATTTATAAGATGTTTTATTTGTGTGCAAACTCTTGAGTACAAAATATCTATGAATTATGTATTCTTTGTGTCTTCTAATTGCTCAGATCTCAGTTTGTACAGCTCTTGTCAGCACTGGAACCACCTCTGAGTTTATTCTTTTCTGTGTCCTGACAATATTTCTTTGTGATTCAGTTGTTAATCCTTAAAGAGCACAAGATTTTTATTAGACTTTTTGAACAACCTTGTAGACCAGATCCCAGCTACTGGTTTTGGTGGAATCATATTCCCTGCACAATAGGTGTGAATCACAGATGCAGATTTTGTGCCACAAAGAAATAAAATTAAACCATTGTGCTTTAATAACACAATAATTACAGCATATTTTTTCCAGTCTCTGACGTACACATTGAGCCAGGTGAATTACTTGGATGGCAGCCAGGCTTGAACTTTGCTGTTGGTAATTGAGATTCTTCAGGCACTGTTCGAGGGCAGTAATGACATCCTGGCCTCAATGACACCTTGGCCTGCATTAGAAATCACACCTGGTAGAGAGCAAAGCAGAAACAAGGCCTGGAAACAGAATTCTTTGTAGGTTATGTGTGGTAGCAGAGTTGAGTGGGAAAGTTCCAGAGGAGCGGGAGCTCAAGGATTCAGCAGATTACTGCCTAATGATTTGTAGATGCATTCTGCAATTTCCAGCTTGGAAATTGAGTTGGGGACAACCATTGCATGCAGTGGCTTCTTCTCAGTCCCTGCTGAAATCAGGAGAAGGGGGCAGAGCAGTCAATAAATGAGCATCCCACTGGATTATGGGCATTTAACAAGGGAGAACCACCCAGATGGAATCCTGAAGGAGCATCCAACGAATGGAATGTAACCATCCGTACTTGGAGGTGATGGAAACAGTCACAGTCATCTCTTGGTTCTTTGGAACTAAAGAAAAGGGTCTTTTCCTAGTCAGGCCTCTCTATATTTCTCCTAAAAGAGAGGAACTTCAGAGCATTGTGAGGGATCCTCCCAGACCCATCTGTTCCACACAGCTCTGCCAGTCTCCCTCAGAACTTCCAGCCATAGCTGGAAGGTGAATTCAGCATAACTGGTTGGGATGGAAGAGTGCACAGGCACGGGATTTCCTGGGAGCAGAGATGAGGAGGAGCTCCAGGCATACATTTGATGTATCCAGGTGTTTATAGGTGAGAAGTTTTTCCATTAATGAGACTCTGCTAGCAGCTGAAAGGAGCTGGAGGAGCCCAGAGGGAAGTGTCCCTTGTTAATGAGATCTGAGCCCCACAGTTTGACCCAGTGGGGTTTCTGCGCCCTCCAGCCAAGGGTTGTTGGGATGCCATTGGTGAAACTCAGCTGTTGGCCCGGGGCCTCCTCTGCTGGTGCTGCCCAGAGAGATGGATGGGTGCAGGTGCCTCCATCCCTGGCTAACAAATCCACCCTGGGGATGGATGCACGGAATGAAGAGCTGCTTACCCTGAGCCAGTGTTCTTTGTGACATCCAAATGGGACATTTGCCCAGGAGGTTCCTCGGGCATACACGGGGTTATCCCAGCACTTGGAGCATTGTGGGGATCCTGTTTGGATTTAGATGTGCTTCCTCTGTGAGCATCTCCAAGGAACCAGCACATGGAAAAGCTGTAATTGCAGAGCATTCCTCCTGCTGGTAGAGGCTCGGAGGCCCAGCATATGCCTCGCTCAGTGAGTCAGTTGTCAAAATGATTTTGGCTGCTGTGGAGCTTAGTGCAGGGATCAGAAAATACCTGCCAAAATGGGGCTTCAAAAAATGTTTGTTTTCTATCAGGTCTAGATATGCCTCTAGTTTTGTTTTACACCTTTGAACACTTCTCTAGCTGCAGCTGGAGGTTGGTGGGCAGCTGTGGCAGATGTTACAACACGAGCCCT